GGACATTTGGGGACCACTGATATAGGACACTGACAAAATGGCATATTATAAGAGACGTGCCTAAGCACAAGATCACTCTCTCATCTTTGAACAATGGGACTATGAACACTTATTGCGTGGTCTGACTACAACTGTGCGCCCCCCCCCCCACAGTGTAGTTTGACTACATAATGTCGAGTTATGTGGCAATCAAGTCCCTTCTGTGCTTTAACGCCATTCGACATCACGTGTAAAGATGCGAATCCAAGCATTGTATCTGTGAAAGTATGACTGGACGTCATGAGTTGTTTTTTATTCATGAAGGTTTTGAACGTAAATGCGTGGAAATCTGGAATGAGTGATCATTTATATAGAAGTATAAAAAGGTTGTATCAGGTAAAAATAAAGTCAGTTGTTACACCGAACACAGAAGAGTGAGCATCATTCATTTCTATTACAGTATCGACGTTGTCCGGATTTTAAAAAAAAAATTGATTGATGAATGTCGTCACTGCCTTGCATACATTTGTTGTTTATGTTTTCCCCACGTTTGTCTAAAAGGTACATACCAATAGAACCCCAAAAAAGTTCGAACCCGTTGCTACTTCTTCTTCTCCTCGAACTACCAAGAAATTTGTTTTCTATGTTCAATGGGTACACTTTTGTTTCGATCCCCCTATTTCTGGTAGTCGTTGGCTAATATCTTTCCCATCTCATCGTGTTCATCTCCTTATGAAACCACCAACCAGCGGCGTCTATTCACCCCCCCCCCCCCAAAAACTGGGTGGGGGAAGCCAAACCCCCCCCCCCGACATTGGACTTGTTAAATTTTGTAATGTGGACCAGGAAAGTCATTGTGATCATGTTTAATCCAGGTGTTTACTTTTGAACATTAGTAATACAAAAAATTTACAGTTAAAAAAATTGAATAAAAATTGACCACGATAATATTGATAACAAACTATTTAACATTTTATTTAGCAAATTAAATTATGGAAACCTGTGAATTTTCTAAAAAAAATGAATTTTCGTAGCATTTTTAATTGTATTTTGTTTATCAATTCGTAGAAGTCGTCCATTTTAATCAGAGAGTTCGTCATGCGCGTGCGAGCAAAAGACGTGAGGTTCAAAACTGAAGGGTTGGAGTTCAAGTCCCCGACTGACAATTAAATAAATACTTTTTTAAAAAATCCTAACAAAAATACCTGCCCCCCCCAATCCAATATAAAAGAATACAAAATAATTAGTAACTGTATCTTTATATTTCCCATATTAATGTTGTTACCGGAGAAGTTTCAAAAGGCATGCCGGTTGGGGATTTTATGCCCCCTCCACCCTCTTTTCGAAAAACTGGAAGCAAAGGCATCCTCCACTCTCCCCCCCCCCTCCTTTGTGACGCCCCAGAACTCTCACCTTTCATCCTTGCTGCATTTGATAGGCACCAGTCCAAGAGAGGTGATACACTGGTACACACACACACACACAGCCTNCCCCCCCCCCCCATCTGGTAAAATGTAATGTCTCAACACGAGTCCTACACCCCACAAGACATAATATCTACACAACGGTCGGTTCGGTTTAAGTCTTTAACACATTTGAGAGATAAACACACTGTCAGGGTTTATGTCAACTGAGATGAAAGTACACGATCCCCTCCCCCCCCTCCCGCTCACTCCTGGCGACTAGGGGGGCGGGCGGTGTGCAACGACAGATGTAAAAACATATTTTGAAAAAAGAAAATATACGGATTACAGGTATTGAGGAAAACAATTTTTGGGAAAACTGTAAATTGATGAATATTCCCTGATTTCTACTTGTAATACTTACGTTTTAAAGCATAAAAAAAAATAATAAAAAAAAATAATAAAAAAAAATTAAAGACATGGTTTGCTGAAATAATATTGAATGGATTTAAAATGGTTTTGTTTCATCTTAAAAATCCAAAATTTGGCCGGACTATGTTATGAAAAAAAAAGAAAGAAACACTTGTTATGTTATATCCGGTCAAACTCTTTAAAAAAAAAAAAAAAGACAATTTGGGGTTGTTAATGAATGAGGACTACAACAGTCAAATTGTATCTGAAGTATCTAGGTTGATGATGTTGGAACAATGATAAAATTTTTAAAAATTTCATTACAGTTTTTTTAAACGTTAAAATTGTTGAAATTTATGGATGCCGGAAGGGAAAGCCACATTTTTTGTATTTGTTTCGGTGATCTCAATCCTTAATTTTTAAATTTAAAAAAACAACAAAAAAAAACATCAACAACGAATCAACGTGCGTTTTTATTTCGTGCAGATAACTCATTTTGGCACTGATCGAAAACGCCTCTTTATCTGCCAGTGCGCATGTGTCCATGAGGTACCAAACTATGTGCACGTGCTGGGCTAATATCGGATACTAGATGGGTTTTTTTCCCCTTCTTTTTATATAATTCTGTGATACCCGCCCCCCACCGGATTGATGGATCACCATGGCAACGCAATGCATCAGGTAGTGCCTTCAAGAAAGAGAGATTTTCTTACGGTCACATCTATGTGGTCCGAATGGCAGATATATACCCCCCCCCAACCCCCACATGGAGCTTGGCGGACTGTTGACTTCGCTGCCACAATGGAGGAGATAAGATGTTGCGAGGCTCAGAAGAGCAGTAAATAATCTCGGATCGAATTTGACGTAACTACAGACAAGTGAACACTGGGAAGTGTGGGGGGGGGGGGAGGGGATGGTGGTATCTTTTTCCAACGATTCTGACAATTTTAATTTTGTTGGGTTTTACTCCGATATGAGATTGTTGTAAACTAATAGGCGTCAAAATCATTCTTTTTATGTCATCAGACACGCCATATAATGTGTCAGTAATTCGTGTTCTTTCGTTAAGTTTTGACATTGATTATAATGGACTTCGTAATGATTATTAAATACCTTTGTTTGCTTNTGTTTTTTTTTTTTTTTTTTTTTTTTTCTTTTTTTTTTTTTTTTTTTGTTGTGTTTTTATGTTCTTTAGCAAAGAGTGATTCGTTTACCAGCAAGTAAATATAACCATTCATTTTTTTATTTTTATTATTTTTTTTTTGGTTACACATCTTTATTTATATTAGGACATTATGCTTAAAGAGTTTTTTTAAGTTTTGAAAAAAAAAGTAATCGCAGATGTTGCAATAGAAATTTTCCCAATAAAACGGACATTTTCTCCAATGAAAATGACATTTTCCAATCAAAGAAATATAAACATTTTTTCCAGTGAAATTGACTTTTCCCCAAATGAAACTGACCATTTCCCAACTGAAATTACATTTCTCCAATGACATGGACATGTGACCAATGATTATGTTGAATTGTCCCAAGAGAGACCAGGCGGCACCACGTTCAACGATCAGTCACAGTGAGTTCGAAGGTAAGACGAGGGTCTGCTTAGAGAAAGTCTGATTTAGGATAACCAACTACCGAGAACTTGGATCAAAACTACTTTTCCCCGCGAATGAAAAAAACAACAACAAAAGTTTAAATACCCATTGTGGATGGGAACGAAACGGAGATGACTCTGTTTTGCCGAACAACACCTGCTGGTATTCATCTCCCCCTGGGAATGGCTCAAGTACCCCGCTGCACGCTACCTCCACTGACTGCAGATCGACATTTATCACAAATGTCATTGCCTGCAGAAAATAAGGCCTTCCACCTGATACGACCGTAGAACGTAACTCCTTAACCCCCACCCCAGGGTCTACTGAATAAAATAGAATAGAGTGGATAGTTTGACAAAAATTTTTACGTCTCATTCCTCGGCACCGATCTATGTGACTTATGTGAGCCGCGCGAGATAGATCTATGACGTATAATTCAAACTGTTTCTTATCACCTATGACATAGTCTGTGCAGCTATCTTGGAAAATAAATCACAAATATTGCTATTCATCAGTAGCTGTGCAGCCATAGATTGCAATGCCCCATTTCCTTTACGGTGCCCCACTCTGCCCCAAGTCACAACACCCCCACCCACCCCTTTGCACATGTAATGGTATCGATGCCAAGGAAAACTTTTCTATTACGACTCGATACGTCCATTCCTCTCGACCACCGCTAACAAGCACCCATAATCTTATGAAACAATCATGTCATAATAATCCGACCACATCCACCCTAATCTAATAACACAATCATGCCATAATCCGACCACCTGCACCATAATCTTCTAACACCATCATGCCATAATCCGACCACCCCCACCAAAATCTTCTAACGCCATCATGATATAATCCGACCACCCACACCATAATCTTCTAGCACCATCATGCCATAATCCGACCACATTCACCATAATCTTCTAGCACCATTATGATATAATCCGACCACCCACACCATAATCTTCTAGCACCATCATGCCATAATCCGACCACCTGCACCATAATCTTCTAACACCATCATGCCATAATCCGAACACCTGCACCATATTCTTCTAGCACCATCATGATATAATCCGACCACCTCCATGATGTTTCCCCCATTCCATCAACCCCTCCCACCCCATGGCGGCTCAAGGTAGACTACTCTGCTATTTATTTTCATTAACCCGCCGAGGGGTAAAGTTTATCAGAGTAGCTTCCCTTAGACATCATGACTGCCGCTAGAAGAGTTCAGAAGGGCTGAGAGATAAAAGGTGTGCTGAAGGGCAAAGCGTGGTGAGTGGGCGAGCGGTAGCTACATTTATTGGAGTACGAGAATTGGAGGAATATAGTCAAGGAGTCGGAGGATTAAAAAAAAAAAGGGGGGGGGGAATATTTTTAACCTAAATATGGGTAATTTAACAAGGAGAGGGGTCCGTTAACAAGGAGAGGGGTAAATTAGCAAGGAAACGGGTCAAATTGAGGGGGTAAAAGATTGATGGACGAATCAGATAGACATACAGACTGACAGATACAGAGAATAAAATGTAAATTAATAGGCAGGAAGATGTATGGGCATTCAAGGAATACAGATGTCAAGATGAGGAAAAAAAGAAAAAAGGCCATACATTTTTTAAAAGGAAAGACATAAATAAGGAAAACCCCTGGTCTCCTCATAGATCAAACCAGAGATACGTTTCACACCACCTCTGCGGGCGAGACGACGGATGGCGGGCTTGGTGATGCCTTGGATGTTATCACGCAATACTTTGCGATTAAAAAAAAAAAAAAAAAAACAATTTTTAAAAAGAAAGAGATAGATATAGAAAGAGAAAAAGTGTGTGTGTGTGTGTGTGTGTGTGTGTGTGTGTGTGTGTGAGAGAGAGAGAGAGAGAGAGAGAGAGAGAGAGAAGGAAAAAAATATATTCACAAATGCCCTAGGGCACCATGTCCTGGAAACTAAATGCTAATTTTGGAACTCAATAAATAAATATTTAAATTTAAAATCATAATTTTATTGTTGTGTAAACATGAGCATAGAAATAAAACAGACAATCGTTCTGTGTGTTTACCCCCTGGTATGTGCAGTTATGCTTGATTTGTATAAATTTGCGATAAGCGTTACATAAATACTAAGGCTTTACAATGGTGGATATTATGTATAAATATAAATAGCCTTCTAAGACAAACATAATGCGAGTAAAATTTACGCTAGGCAGAACGATTTTATTTGAATTTAAAAAAAATAAAATAAATAACTTATTAAAATCGACTATGCAAACCAGTTGTTCTGAGACCAGATGTTATAGACACCAGTGGTTATTGACACCAGAAGTTGTTATTGACACCAGAGTTTATTGACACCAGAGGTTATTGAAACCTTCTGCGACCACTAGGGTCATTTAAAGTTCACGACGTGTTAAAAAAAAATTCAATCAAATTATCATGAATAAATGAACATCTCCATGTACTTGGGGCAGGTTGCAAATTGGAATTACAGTCGAACCCACTTATCTCGACCTCGGTTAACTCGCCAACACTGATATGTCGACGTTTTTGATGTGGAACCGCCAAATTCTCTCTTTGTCTTAGCATTTTTCCTCACGGTTATATCGACTCTTTTATTTAGCCGAACCCTGATATCTCGAGCACAAAAAGGTGGCCAAATTTTCCACTTAACCTTGGCTATCTCGATCCCCATGACCTATCATCGCCTTTTGAAAAATATATACAACAGGAACGTGCCTACTTCAAATTGTAATAATTGAAATTAACTTGACACAGCAAGAAGCGAGGAGCGAGAGGCTTGCAAACCAAAGCGAGAGGTCGCAGTACCAGTTCTATTAATAGCGAACCCGCTTGTCGCTTAATGGGCTTTCACGCATTCTTACACGTTGATTTTTTCTTTTAAACTCAGAATCCGTATTTGAATAAACTGAACTGGCGAATCTGGGGCGAGTGAAACAAAAAAACTGGCGAATCCGGGGTGAGAGAAACTACTCACGACTCCGGAATTCCGGGATGATCCGGAAAAATGGCAGCCCCACATATGCCTTGTGTTGTTAGCAAACATGTATGTACATTTTTATAGCATGCCGATCGCTTCATCAAACGAATCGCGGTAACGCTGTTGTGTAAAAAACAACAACAACAAAACAAAAAAAACCAGCCCTCCAAAACACGCACATGTACATTCCTCATTTCTAAACGCACACCGTGCACGGAAAGAAATTTCAAGCACCTGTTAATATATTATTATTGACGCCATAATATTGGTTTTCGTTTACCTCGATCATCAGTAATCCTGACGCTTTTGTGCCAAACCCCAAGGCCGGCGACATGACAGGGTTCGGTTCTCGTTAAAATTAGTGTATAACCGAATGAAACCATAAAGAGATCAGTTGGATTTGACAACATTCGAAGGCGATCACGGATATGAGACTGACCTTTTGAACCCAACCATGTATCAATGTCCGCGTGGCCGTGACCATTAACACCACCACACCCTGGTCACCACTGAGTCACCACACCCTGGTGACGAAACTCATGTTAGGAGAACACACGATTATAATGCACAGTTTCGTGGAAATTCTATCTGCTCAGCCCCCTGCCGACCACGGCCAGTCAGTGGGCGAGGGGCGAACATAAAACCCCACCGATAATATTATGTTTGCCTTGCTCTACTCACAGTAGGGAGCGGGGGGGAGTGGCTCATGCTATGGATGTGAATCATGCGGTCAGATAATTTTTTTTTTTTTTTTTTATTTAAATATGGGAAAAACCAAAATTCCTAGAATCTGAAAACATTAATTTAAAAAAAAAAAAACGAAAAAACTCTCACTAATAATTCGACCAGCTAGAGGTAAAGTATTGCACGTGTGCTGGTGAGTAGCTGAAGCCATTGTTTAGACAACAAGAGTCAATTAAAAAAACAACAACGAAATATTACAATTTTTTTATCGGCGTGATCCCCTCTCTGAACGGCGTCGGAATAGTTTGTCTCCCACGAAATCTGGATGTCCAGTGTAGCGTTGGTTTAATAGCTGCCCCGATGTAAGGTCAGCAGTGACCTTGGCTTGGGTCAGGACTGTCGCTTTGTAAGGTCAGTTGTGACCTTGGCTTGGGTTCAGGACTGTCGCTTTGTAAGGTCAGTTGTGACCTTCGATGAAAACAAACCGCCCGTCCCAGCTGGGCCCGTTGAAAATAAAAAGTCTGAAAGGGCTGTTTTAATGGTTGTCCCAGGCCCCTGGGCTACCCTTCCCCCCCCCCCCCACGACCAAGCGGTCATACACTCACACGGATCATAACTAGTGTGGTCTTGAAAAGTATTTTAAGTATTTAATACTGCAGACTTGAGAATGAACTGGACAAATTTTTTTTTTTTTTGCAAGCATCATCCGTCCAAAATTTAAAGCAATTTAAAAAGCTAAACAACTCTAATAATTTTAGGACATTACAAGCTCGACTCCATCTTCTCTAGCCATGCTACAAAAAAAAAGCATTTTCAATATATAAATTAATCATATATATTCGAATGCATTACATCCATAGATCTATTTGGCCATATAAAAATAACGCAATTATTTCATCAAATAAGGATAACGTTGTACTACTTACTACGGAAGCATTCGTACGTCTTCTATAGTTACCGCACAGTGACGTCATATCAGTTCCGTTCGGCAAATTACCCAGAAACACCACAATTCAGATTAACACCCAGACAAAAATTTCTTGCTTTGAATTCAATAGAGGAACTTCTTCTTCCAACCTTCTCATACCAATTTCAGCCCTACCAAATCCAACCAATCTCATCGCTTCTTCCAGTTTGGCACTTTCTTACAAGATACCATCTCGAGTGAGATAAGGGTTTGCCCCCCCCCCCCCCCCCCCCCCC